TACACAGTGTAACCATTACATTTTGTATCCTTTTTTGTATAGTTGTTCGTTCATTATGATGAATTAGGAGCTTTTATTTTCACCTTTCGTGCTTCATCCGGGACACTCAGCAAGTTGTGTAGTAGGTGGTCCTATAAGTGAATCATCTATCCCTTGTCTTTTATCGCGATGGCATCTATTTTTGTTTCTTCTATGCTTCTTGTTTTCAGTATTTCAACTAGCACTTTTTAGAGAGGCAGATGTATGTTTTAGCTACCAATTTGCTGAGTGCATCTGCCCATTTGTTCTCACTTCTTTTGACTTGCTAGATATTCAAGTTAACAAAAAATACGATCATTTCATTGACTATTGTCATGTATTTCTACATTCTTGGATTCTTTCTTTTGCATACCTCATTTATTTGGTTCGTGACCAACATCAAATCAGGCCTAACTTTCAAAAAAAATTATCCAACTTCATTTTCCAATTTTAATCCAGCTATCAATTCTTTGTACTCAGCTTCATTGTTTGTTGTCTCGAAATCGAACTGTAATGCATATGTTATCTCGTTTACTTCTGGGTCAGTAAGTATAAGGCCCACTCCTGATCCTTCTCTGTTGGTTGTTCTATTGGTATACAATGTCCTGACCATATTTTTGCGAAGGCCTTTGCTCCTTCGTCTTGTTGCATAATGGTCATGTTGCACTCCTAGTCTGGACCTTTTGTTAGGAAGTTTGCCAAGCCCCATCCTTTTATAGTTGCTCTGGGGTGATACTCTATGTCATGTTCTCCTAAATCAATGGCCTATTTGACCAGCCTTCCTGATTTCTCTGGTTAGTAGGATGCTTTTGAGAGACTGGGTGGTAAGGACTTCAATTTGATGAGCCTAGAAGTATCGACACAACCATCTAGCGGCGTAGACTAATGCTAGTACAAATTTTGTGGCCATGGGATTACTTGACTCTACGCCTTACAGTGCTCTACTAACGAAGTATATAGGAAATTGTTTGATTTGTCTTTCAATCGTCATCACTGTTGAAATAGTGTCTGTTGTTGCAAATAGGTACATTGACAAGATTTCGCCTGGCATGGGACTTGCTAGCGTTGGAATTTACCGGAGGGCTTCTTTGAATTCTTAGAGAGCATGTTCGGCCTCGAGAGTCCAATTGAAGTTACATTTGTCGATACATCCCTTTAGCATCTGGAATAGTGGTATTTCCTTATTCATTGAGCATGATATAAATCGTCCTACAACCGTGATTTTTCCTTGCATCTCCATTAAGCTTTGTGGTTCTATTGCATCTAGTAGATCAACAATCTTCTATGGGGTTGGTTGGATTCTCGTTCTTGTTATGTACGTAGTATCCCAAGAATTTTGTTGGTTTTAGTTTCATACGTGCTTTCTCTAATGTTTGTTGGGTGTAGTAGCCTTTGCTCGAGGAATAATCTTCACAAAAATTCCCCTTAATGTGTGCCAAACATGAAACCTCGAAAAACTTTCATGGAAAAACAATAACAAAAAATTTCCAATTTCATGAAAATTTTCAACTTTTGGGTGAGAGTTGCAAGAATTTCCAAAACCCGGGTAAAAACTGCCACTTTTAGAATTTTGCAGCGACCCGTTGCGCCAAAAACAATCTAAGATGCGAAACACTCCCCCGATTGCGAAACTAGGTGTAAAGCGTTGATTCGCATAAACAAGAGAGGGTGAACTGTAAATTTCTCCATTTCTCATAATTGTTAGTCCAATTTCGAAGTTGGGTCGTTTCTGCCAACATGTCAAAACTACAAGGACTAAATGAGACACATCTTCCTTCTTCACAAATTGCTTTCATCAGTTCAAATATGGGTATGAATTGTCAAATTGTTAAAAGATGAGGGACCCAAATCGAAAATGGTTGTTTTCTTCCCAAATTCTTTTAGTTATATCAGGCGACCATTCGACATCTATGGTTGCTCAAACCCTTCGCTTTCAATTAAAATACCCCTCATTAACAAAGCACATTTGGTCATCAACAACGAAGCACTTACGGGTCCTCGTTAAGGAACCCTCGGTTGTCGACTTTAATACCGAAGGCTTCGATTCATCAATTGACTCCAAACCAGTGTATTTCCAATTTGTTTTCAACCAACAACATAAACACGCCTCAGTGTCAAGCAACAACCATCACCATTCATAATTAAACCAATAACTCCAAACAAAACTCACAACGAAACTCGTTTGACCTCCAGTTCGTTTTCCAGATAATAAAGAAACCCACACATCGAATGATTTCTACACATACATACCGATCAATTGGATACCCATACATCGAAACTGAAAAACATAATTCAAAATCAACTTCTCTTCCTTTATACTAAAACATTACGCACATACATACATTCATTCTATTTCAATTAATCACAATGTCGAGTGTCGAGTACTCAACCGAAATCTACAATGTCGACATAACCATTCAACTAACATTAGTCGAAATTATGTCGAATCCAAGTAAGGAACTTCTAGTCTCTAGGTATTCAATTATCAAATTGAGCACAACTAGTCGAATATGATTTCGATCGTCAATTAGCCCAAGAATATGTTCGCAACCAGTTTGACTCTAAGAAATCAACTTAAAAATCGAAATCGATATTAACACCAAGTAAGATCATTCGACTCCAATACTGATTTCAACAACAAATCGAATTTTAGAATGCAAATACTAACTCCAATCAAAGGCAATTTTGGTTGATTTCAACCCCAAAAAAGCTTTGACTTCATAACATCGACACTTATCTAAACCTCAGGTCAAAATTAGTTGAAATTGAAGAATAAGATTTGTTCAATCAATGGGGTAGAAACAGATTTGATCCAATGAGACAAAGCGATCAAAACTAACAAACGCAAAATGCGAATCAAAATCATGGACGTTTTGAAATCCATTTGAGAATTTCAGATATATTTTTGATGATCCGAGTTCCATTTGCAACGAATGAATCAAATTTAGAAGTTCTTGGTTCTTTTGTTGGAATGAGAAAATCTCCAATTTGAACATTGTACCACCCACGATGTGTGTTGTACAACTCGTTCTTTGTGTTCTTCAACGATCTAAGAACGTCTTCATAAGAACCATCAACAATTTTGGGTTTTGAATTCAAATTTTTTACAGCATATAGAGATTGTTGCTTTTGAACCCAAATTTTTCTTCATGAATTTTGGCTTGACAACAACCTCTGACGATTTTTTAGAATGAACTCGCTTGTTTTTACGTTTGATCTTCTTTTTCTTTTTTCCTTTTCATCTTCTTGGAACTTGAAGATTTGAATTCATGAACAAACCCATTTTCCACAACTTCAACTTGATAAGTTTGGAACATATCTTTTGGAGTTTGATATTTGTAAATTTCTTAGATTAATTACTTTCGATAAGGAATCATTCCTTAAAATCACTCACAATAACAAAAAAATATCATCCGTTTGAACTCCAATTGAGCAAAACCTTTTTTTATCTTCTTGAAAATCAACTTGAATCTTCTTATCATGAACTTCAAGAGCATAAAGAACATGATGAACTTGTTCAAGAACCTCCTTATGATCTCATGAACATCCAGGTAAAATTGAAGAGCATTGAAACCATATTTTGGAACATCAATACGAATTCCTTGAATAATATCATCTTCTTTCTTCTTCCTTCTTCTTTCATGATAAGTTGCACCCAAACGATCAAGAAAACTTTTATTCTTTTCATAACCAATTTTATATCCAATCATCTTTCCAAATTCATCTTTTTCACCACTAGAAATGATTGAATAACTTTTGAGCAATCCAACAACCAAAGAATAGAGAAGATCTTCAAAAGTGTATGAATATCTATTTTTTCCTTCTTCTATTACATACCACTATTCATAAATTGGTTCTTCCATCTTGAATCAATCGATAAGATCTTGGGTGTTTGTAGAGAGAGAGAGAGAGATAAAGAGAAAGTGATTTTGAATGGGATTTCTAGAGAGAGAAAGTAAAATCACTTGAATTCTAGTGAAGAAAATTGAATTATTAATAGAATCAAAGATGAATTTGATTTGTAGAATCCAAAAACTTTCAAAAACACGAAGAACTAAAATCAAATGAAGTATCACCAAATCTAAATGTCATCATGGATCAATTCTTGATCCAATCAAGAACTCTCGCTTTGATACCAATTGTAGTGGTGTTGATTATGATAACATATGTAGAATTAATAAGATCTATTGAATCATCATACAAATAATGAACATATGGAGTAAATAAATATGGGTTAATCTCTCATTAGATCTAGAAAGAAATACAAAGTGGGTGTTGTACAAATATCTCTCTTGTCTAACTCTCCAAATGAAGATTACATAAAGAGTAAATTATAGTTTTGGTCCATGTGGTTTGGTCAAATTCGCACGTTCAGTCCAACCTTTGAAAATTTGACAAGATGCATCCCTATGGTTTAAAGAAATTACACTGGACATCCTTAATCCACTTAAAAAGTCAACTTCACCTTTACTTTTATATATTTCTTTTTATTATATATATATATATATATATATATATATATATATATATATATATATATATATATATATAATTGTTTAAGTTTTTTATATTTTGCCACTTACATTTTATTTTATTTATTTAGATTTTTTATAATTTATATATTTTTGTAAAATTTTATTCGAACATATTTATAATTTTTTATGTATTTAGTTCGCATATATTTTTTTTGACGTTTTATTTGAATTTTTTTATGTTTTGCTCGAATATTTCTTTTAATATTTTTTTGGTATTTTGTTTTTATATATATTTGTAAAGCTTTTTATAAATATTTATTGTTAAAAAATATAAAATGGTTAGTTAAATGAGAATATGATTAACACATATTAGATATACAATTATTCATTTTTATAGGGTTATTGTTAGGGGTGGCAAATCGTGCCATCGTTTCGTGTTTTTAGCTAACACGACACGACACGAATTTAAAGGGAAGGTCATGCTTGACAATAGCTTCACTAAGAAGTTCACGAAATCTTTCAGGTTTAAAACCAATAGAGTTTATTGAAAAAGAACCACCTGACTTTGAAAAAATAAACTGTGATATGTCTGTTTTGCACTGATTACATTCCGCCCTTTCCCTACCATCTTTACTAATTGGAAGTCTAGTAAAAAACTTCCAAACCTCAGACCACCTTTCTTTTCCATTTTTACATCCTCTTCTTCACCTTCTATTTTAACATCTATCTCCACTACATCAATGTCATCAGATTCTTCAAGTTCAACATCCTAAGATACAAATGCAAGCATATATTAAAAAACTTAGAAGCACAACAAGAACTCAGAAAAAAAAAAGTAATCAGAAACTTAAGCACAAGAGTAATCAGAAAAGAGCTTGTGAACAGAAAGTTAATAAAAAATTAAAATACCTGTGGAGCTACAGCTGCAGAAGCTGTGTCGAGTTTTGGCCTCTTCATATCAAAATTTAACCAATAGCCAAATCCCCTACAATCAGGAAGAAAAGAAAAAACAAACTATGAAATATAAGTTGTACATTTGTGTAAAAGACAAGAAGCAATCTAGAAAATAAAAGTATGTAACCAATACAGAAGAATAACATTAAACACAACACACAATAACAAAAAAGTGTATAATCAATAGCTATATCCCCTACAATCAGTAAGAAAAGAAAAAAAAAATCTATGACTAATAAGTTGTATATTTGTGTAAAGAACAAGAAACATTATAGAAAAAAGTATGTAATCAGATACAAAAGAATAATATTAAACACAACACACATTAATAAAAACGTGTACAATCAATAGCTATATCGCATACAATCAGTAAGAACAAGAAAAAAAAAACTGATAAGTTCTGCAGTTGCAAACAGGGATTAAGTATAAGTTATACATCAAAATATACTAAAAAACTATAATCAAGAACGTGAATCAGGAAGAAGAGGAAAAAAAAAACGGAATCAAGAACATGAATAAGGAAGAACAGGAAAAAAGGACATAACTTGATTTCTTATTAAACTGTTTAAGAAATCAAATTAAACCCTTGATTAGAAAAACTGAAAAACGAGAATGATAGAGCATCTAATAAGTGGAATTAATTATGAATATGTCTCAAGAATCGATTAAGAGGGAAAAAAACGAGTTATATAAGTTCTAAGCGGTTTAAGAGCAAACTGAGAATCGATTAAGAACAAAATTTTAAAGAAGTTATTTTCGATTTAAGAGCACATGAAAAAAAAAAAATACCTTGATTGCAATCGGTAAGAACTAACAGTGATTCACGCCTTTACCGTCTTCACTTGTTTCGATCAGCAATGGAGGTCAGCAACGCGATGAGAAGGTATTGGAAAATTAGGGTTGATCACTTGATTGGGATAAATGTTAGAGCATATACGTGTGATTTAAGGGAGAATTGCTGAATTGGAACCCTTTAATACAATCGATTGAGCATAGTGTCGTTAACAATGCCATCACTACAAGTATGGGGAAGGGAAATTGTCGATTGAGTTTCCAGTGCATGTTCATTATCGTTTCGAATTACAGACACGAACACGAACACGACACGACACGATTTTGTGTTTCTTTTACACAACACGAACACGAATTCGATTTTTTATTTCGTCCCAATTTCGTTTCGTGTCGTGTATTTTTATTGTGTCGTGTGTCGACTTTTGCCACCCCTAGTTATTGTATAGCCTAATCGAAATTTAAAACAAGGGTCAATGGCTTCGAATTCAACCTTTTAGTTTTATAATTTCTTTTACATTTCGTTACAAATGGAAAATGCTCATCAGAATGCATATAACTTAAGCACATATGCCAATGTTTTAGATTTCATTTTTTAAAATTTTGTTCGTTTTCGAGTTATATGGTTTTCCAATTAAATTTTATATAAATTGAAATCTTTTTTTGTATTTCAGTAAGTATATCTATTAATCTTATTAAAAATATAATTTTATACCTAATCTAATTTAAGAATATGCACATTTAACAAACTTTTTATTACATTTCTTACAAAAAGTATAAACAAATAAAACGTTAAAAACAAATTAAAATGTATTCAAACAACATGCCAATAAACTAAAAAAACAATTATTCAAAAAAATTATCATAAAAAATATAAACAAGATATATGTAAAAAAACATTTTTTTGGGTGTTGTGTTTGAATATACTGTTTGATGTTTTTTATATTTTTTCGTTTATGTTTTTATGATGTTTTTTTGAATATATATTTTTTTAAAGTTTTTTGTCATGTTGTTTGAATACATTTTAATTTTTTGACCTTTTTTTGTTAATACTTTTTGTAACAAAATATATAAAAAAAACTCGTTAAATGTGAATATTAGTAACTTAGATTAGGTATAAAATTATATTTTTTAAGAAAATTAATAGATAGCTCATTGAATTACGAAAAAGAGTTTCAATTTATAAAAAAAAAAACTAATTGGAAAACCATATAACTCGAAAACAAACAAAATTTCTAAAAAAAATGAACTCGAAAACATTAACATATTTGTTTGAGTTATATGAATTCTAATTAGCATTTTCAACTCGGAACAAAATGTAAAAAAAAATATAAAACAAAAAAGATTGAATTTAAAGCCATTGACACTTGTTTTGAATTTCGGTTAGTCTATACAATAACTCTATTAAAATAAATAATTATATACCTAATATGTGTTAATTATATTCTCATTTAACTAACCTTTTTATATTTTTTATACAAAAAATATTTATACAAATGCTTTATAAATTTATAAAAAAACAAAAGATCAAAAAAACATTAAAAGATATATTCGAGCAAAAGATCAACAAAAAAAACAAATCAAGAAAAACTATTCAAATAAAATGTCAAAAAAATGTAAACAAAAAACATTAAAAATATATTTGAATAAAGTTTTAAAGAAATATAAATAAAAAAATAAAATGTATGCCGCAAAACTAAAAAAAAATTAAACAATTATATATATATATATATATATATATATATATATATATATATATATATATATATATATATATATATATATATATATATATATATATATATGTGTGTGAAAAATAAATATATACAAGTAAGGGTAAAATGGTATTTTTAAGTAGGTTAAGGATGTCTAGTGCAATTTCTTTAAACCACAGGGATGCATCTTGTCAAGTTTTCAAAGTTTGGTCTGAATGTGCGAATCTGACCAAACCATAGGGGTCAAAACTGTAATTTACTCTTACATAAATAAATGAATGTCACTCACTTCCTATATTTATAGGAAATACTATTTACACAATACAAGATGCTAATCATTAATAACATCCAAGCGTGACTTTGCACCCTAACAATAAAGACTTGTAAAAATACTCTAATTTTGAAAATCTAGTTAGATTTTAAATTAAAATGGTAATGTTTTTGTGTTGAGACCTAGGTTGCTAGTATTGTGTGGGACGATCCGATACGTGCCTCGATGTTTATTTGAGCCAACATATGTTCTAGTGTATTTGTGTCTTCCTTATCCTAGTGAAATCATGGGACACAAACATGACCTTACTTAGTTTGATGGACATATTATATTTAGCATCGTGTATCAAAAATGTATCCATAAGAGCTTAATTAGCCATTGCACTTAGACTATTGCCTTTAACCAATAAGGGTTGAAGTTAAGCTCATTTGCTTAAGCATATATTTTTCTTTTTAGGTTTTTACTATTGAGTGGGTGAAAAAAAAAAGAAAAAAAAAAAGAAAAATGTTGAGTGAATAAAAGCTTATAAAGTTTGAAGATTGAAGAATGAAGCAAAAAAAAAAAGATCGTTATCAAGTCAGTTGAGTATTTTATTTTATTATAATTTTTCTTTCTAGATTAGTTTTCTATACGTATGCTTGGAAGCTTAATCAAAAATTCCTTTGAGATTAAGGATATATTTGAATGGATATATAAAATGAATGTTGTTCAAAATAAGTGGGGGTGTTTATGAGGATTGTAAGTATTTAGTATTAACAAATTTTATAGGAATTAGACACAAATACATGCATTGCAGTATAGATGTAATGTGGAAGTTTAAAATGGATTTTCTTGTACAATATTGGTGGATAGGGTTTTGATGTGGTGGTTTAATAATAATAAAATCAGTTTTGCTTGGGGACAAAAGAAAAATAATATGAGGTATTTTGATAGGGCCATATTTAACAATATATTTTATATTAATCACACTTCTCCATAAGGAAAAATTACATAAAAATATAATGTACTTTGACCATTTTATTCATTTTATAACGACAATCCAATTTATTCCTTTCGTCATTTCATTTTATTCAGCAATATAGACCTTATTAGTTATTGATTGATTGATATGCATGACATAGAAGTAGTTTCAGTGGTCATAAGCTTTTGTATATTCTCGAAACAAGATTTAGCAACCTACGTGTCACTACTAGAAAAATAGCCTTTTACGACGCGCAAATTACGACACTCATTAAGTTATGTTACGCAAACGAGAGTGACATTAAAAAAGGGTCATCTCTTCAGAAAATTTAAGGATTTAGGTCACGCATTATTGCGTGCCTTTAAATTAGTGTCAAAAGAAAAATAATTAAAAACACGGAGGGAGCTGTACCTTAAATGCGCGCCCTCTATATGTGTCGCTTTATAATTTTAATGAACGTGCGTTCCTTAGTTACAAGCGGGAAAAGAAAAGCCAAAAAATTAGAAAAGCCTGCTACCCTCCTTGTCCTAAGCATTTTCACGCATCTTTCATTCTCCTCACACTATTGTGCAACTTCTCAATCAAAGATCGAAGGTTACGATTTCATCTCCATCTCTCAACTTCATCATCTCAATCAAGAAAAAGGGCTTCTGATTTCCATTCATCTACTTCATCGTTTCTGTAATTTCACCTTCTTTATCTCTCTGCTGTTCTTGAGAATACTCGCCAACAGTTTTCTTGCACTATTCCTTGACCTGCTTCCTTCTAGATACGCTTCTTCAAATAAATCCAACAACAACAAACCCCAACCCTACACCCCTCATCCTCTTCCATGGCATCGTCAATTACCGGCAATGTCATATACCACCATCTCTCCGATGAATTCCAATTTTGCGGCTTTAATTTGTAAATATATCCCGCGTACGATCTTCGAAAAGCTTCCGGTGGTAGATCTAGCATGGTCAGCGTGTGTGTGCAGGTTGAGGAGTTCAGTAGCTTGTGATCGATAGATTCAGGTTAGGGATTTCAAGGTGCCGTGGAAACTATAATGGTGTTCATTGTGGCGGAGGGATTAGGGTTTCTAGAGTGAGAGACGAAAGGGGAAATTGGTGTAAATGTCTGTAGAAGGAAGCATGTAATGTTGTTCTCTATTAACCGACGACTTAGGGTTTTAACTTTCACCACTGTTGCTGCTTCGCCACCTAAGCGAATCGACACTCATAACGCACCTTCCACTGCGACGAAGCACTAGGATGTTTTATGATTGGCCTCGCATCAAGGTTCCACAGAGCCTAAATCATTCGCACTAGAAACCTTCATGTACTATCACTACAAGATCTCACCTCCTCTCCCCTTGCCGACAACATCAGGTCCGATGACCTTAGGATTACTTCTTCTATTGCTCTAATTTACAAGCCCTATGTCTTATTAAGGTGTGTTTTGGTTGATTTTTTTCCCTATGTTTTCATTCTTCTACCAGAACCCTATCTTGCTAAATCCTTTTGTTTTCGCAGCTAAATTTTTCTAGAACAAGATGTTGTAGATAGGAAGCAGGTGGAAGAGAAGCCCTAGACCAAGATTTTGTAGAAAATTTTGGTGTTGAATCAACAATTGTTTGTTAACAGGTTTTCCATTTTTAATCATTCATTTGTTCTTCCCACCATTTTTATTAGGTTCTCAATTTACTTAACAAAATTTAGTCCAGTTCTTCTCAGGCACCCATGCCATTACATGTGCCCTGTTTGCTTTCTTAAGGCCTGATGATGAGGCACTTAATCTATTCATTTAGAAAGCAGAAAATTTATTCATTAATTTTTATTAGCTTTTGGCAGTTGGGTCATCACTAACCAGCTGTACAGTTTTACAATGACCAAAACAAGTATAGGTAAAACAAAACACCAGTTGTACAGTTTTACAATGACAAAATCAAATATGCATTGGAATATTCTGAATCCATACACCTATGTGATCTACTTTCAGCAAAGTTGTATCTAATTAATAGAAAGGGTTTTTCCTATATGTTCCTATACAGATTAAGCATAACAATATGGAAAAAGACTAAAAAATATGTATGAAAGATGTATGTATGTATTTTTTTTATTGTTTACATCATGACCAATCAGCAGAGGTGGTGGCAATAGCATAACATAACCAAATAAAATATTGATTCATGCCACTCCTTCCAAGATCACCTTTTTTTCTTTTTGTTTTTAATAAAATAATATAATATATATTTGACTGATTATTGATATCATCATCTACTATGGTGAAATGGTTGATGCAGTTTGATCGTCAAACCTTATCCATTGAAATGCGTTTCTTGATGGCCAAAACTCCAGAGCAAAGGTCAGCTGTTGATCTGGACAATCATTACACACAGCTTAGGTTTCATTCTTTTATACCATATCATATGATGATGATGCTTATATTATCCATTATCCAATCCTACATACAGTTTGAACCTCACCTCATGTATCTATGCAGGAATATCTTGAAAAACATATTGGAGTTAAAACAAGAAGATAGGTATTATATCAGGGATATGTGGAAGGGATATCAGCTACTGGGATGCAGTCAAATCATGGGTTTGATGGCCAGGTCAACGCCTGCTGCTTTTTTACTGGTGTATCCTTTATGGAAAGAGAATGAAAACAAATGGGATGAAGTTTTCAGTGTTATTTTTGTATATTACTAGCTTTGTTAAAGCAACAAGGAGTTGGGATCAAAGGGTTGGCTAAAAGTTCTACTGCAACTGAAGAAGTCCCACCTTTGCTTGAAGAAAATGGGAAAATTGAGGTGTGGAGGATTAATGGCAATGCTAAAACCACAGTACCCAAAGAAGATATTGGTAAATTCTACAGTGGATATTGCTACATTGTTCTTTACACTTACCATTCTAATGAAAGAAAGAAGATTACTATTTGTGTTGTTGGATTGGCAAAGATAGCATCGAGGTAACATTGCTGCTCGATTGGCTACTACAATGTTCAATTCACTCAAGGGAAGACCAGTTCAGGGTCGTGTATTTCAAGGGAAAGAGCCACCACAATTTGTCGCCATCTTTCAGCCTATGGTTGTGTTAAAGGTAGGTACTTGCGTCACATTTTTAGTTTTTTCAAATATTTTGCTGTGATATTAGATTCAGATGGAAAATGTTGTGTTATTAGGGTGGATTGAGCTCTGGATACAAGAACTCCATTGCAGACAAAGAATTGAATGATGAAACCTACACTTTAGATGGTGTATCCCTAATTCAGATATCTGGCACTTCACCCCATAATAATAAAGCCGTTCAAGTAGATGTCGTATGATTATGAGCCCCTTCTAAGTTATTCCTTGGAATTGTTAAAATTAGGGCTAATGAAATTTGTTTGTTTCAGGTGGCAACCTCATTGAATACGTCTGAATGCTTTCTTCTTCAATCTGGTTCTTCATTGTTCACCTGGCATGGAAACCAGAGTAGTGTTGAACAACACAACATAGCTGCAAAAATCGCCGAATTTTTTAAGGTATGGGATGCCCTGATTGGTTTAGAGATAATTTTTTAAATACAAAAACAAATATTGATTGTATTTTAGAAATTGGTAAAGACTAATGAGATCATGATTAATTAAACCTTTCAGGAGAGTTTAATATCTCATAGTAGAAAACTGAGAAATTCAAAGCCAAACCAAGTCTAATTGGATGAGTAGGTGCCAGGTCAGATGCAATAATAGCTGTTGCAACCTTCAAGAAATAGTATTGTAATTTCATTAATTTATTTATTATAGCATTTTATTTTTAAAGTAAAATGAATAAAAAGAAAGAAACTGAAAGTAGAATGGTGTAATGGGAAGAAATGAAATAACCCATCGGTCAAAGTCTAGTCAAGTCATAGAAAGTTTGATCAGTCTAGTCTAGTCTACTCCTGCACAGTGTAATAGATGCAGCCTAAAAGTTGAATACCTGATAATGCTCTTTCCAAATCCAAACACCTCTACCTCTAGTAAGTATTACTACAAATAGGCAGGTTATCGCCTTTCAAAAGATAATTAATGAATATGAACAATAGACTGTTGTTTTATTCTCAGGCTCAGGCTGTTGGACATCATCATCTAGCACTAGCAGCAGATTAAATTCAGAGACAGAAAACACCAATTCTGGGACTGCAGAAACCAATTAAGGTATTATGTAAACAAGAAACAACACTTCAGAACAGTTATACTATACAGATTCATAGAAAAAGAGATATATCCAAACCAAACCTACTTGTTGAGATTAACTTTGCAGGGAAAGCAAGGCAGTAGACACTGAATCACTTTGTGTTATTTCAGGGAAATTGGTATGGTCTATTTAATTTTTTTTTATTGTTTTTATTTAATAAGTTAAGAGTTAATATATTATTAAACAAATATTTTTCGAATGGATCATCAGGAGCAAGAAAAAATGTCCCGAGCTACAGGGACACAGGTTTGTTTGTTTAGAGTTATAGTGCTAATTTATGTACCTTTTATCTGAAATAATTACAATTTCTTTCAGACATGCATGGGTGACTATCTCAAAGATGTGGCATCCAGTCATATCCAAAAGATTATAGATACAACAGTTGAATCAGGACTTAAAGTTGCACTCTATCCTCGAGAAACAAGTTAGAATGTCAATTCACTTCATTTTCATTTTCATTTTATTATTGATTTTCCCTTATTTGGATGAATGGAATCAAAATGAAAAGGATCACTCTATCTCCTTAGGTGGGGCTGTTAAGGATATGGAGTCTAGCTCTCTCCATCTTCTAGTTTTATGTGGTGCAAAGGTATGATCTAGTTTTATGTGGTGCAAAGATATGTGGAAGGATATCAGCAACCGGGATGCAGCCAATGCACAACTGCTTATCCATATAATCAGTTGTTTGGAGCATTAGTCTTAAAGAATTATAAAAGGTAAGATGCAACATTACTTAGTTGGAATTTGATGTACATAGTAGATTAGATGGAAATTTATATATTGTAAGAAATAGAATTGTATGACATTAAATTTATGCAATGGATTCTATTTCTTGTATATGATATTTTATTTTCTATTCAGAAACATTAAATACAAATTTAATTTGAAAATAAGTAAATCTATAAATAATATTTTTTTAAACATTTAAAATTATGATACGCAAAAATGTGTGTCATCTTCATTTATGACATGGCCTTTCTTGACAGGGTCTTTCTTGATACGCGTTGCGTGTCATTAACACGTGCGTCGTAAGGTTACGACACACGAATACGTGTCGTCTTCCTTTATGACAGGGCCTTCCTTGATACACATTGCGTGTCGTAAACGCGCTTCGTAATTGCGCGTCGTAAATGAGCGTCATAAATACGCATCGTCTCTCTTTATGACAAGGCCTTCCTTGACGCGCATTTGCGCATCGTGAAAGGCTATTTTTCTAGTAGTGTGTGTGTTTTATGTCATTAATGACCAATGAGAAACTAACACTACAAATCAATATGAAAAATGAAATAGTTATGGATCTTAAGGCATATATGGTGAGCTTAATCCTTGGTTTCATCTATACTTTCATTTCTACTACGTGTTTGTGATTTTATATCACTAATATTAATTAAGTGTAATGGGGTTAATTTGTTGATCAATGTCAATTTGACAATTATTGAACAAATCGGTATGGTGTGGAGTGCACATTTGTTTAATATTGTCTTTGTTGAAAGTATACTCCTATTTAGGGGCCAAGCCCCTAAACTGACGGGGGTCCGGGGACAGCGCCCCTGGGAACGGGGTCCAAGGGGCAGAGCCCCTGGTTGGTATATTAAAATTACATCACCAGATTTTTGATAAATGTACCCAGTTTTATGATCCATATTCTAGACCCGGATTTAAGGTTGTTTATGACCGTTTATGGACAGATTTAGGACATAAACTTGTCATGTAGCAGTTTTAAGATAGGAAGTTGTCTGTTATATGATTATATCTGAATCTGTGGTTGGTACACTTCTTCTTCATAATATCAAAACATTCTCTCTTCTGTTTTCTCTCAATTCTGAGTCTTATCCGATTAAAGATTGGGAGTAGCACTCAAATACTTTAATCTGAAAGTGAAAGCTACAATTCTCTGAATTTCCAAGTTTTTTCTATACCCCAATTCTAACAAAGATTAAAGTATTTCTGTGATCATGTCAAGTGGTGGTTATGTGAAATTAGTGTATGTTCTGAGTACACCCATGCGAGTCTTACTAGAATCTGTTGAAGATGAACCTTTGGAGGCAACAAGAAGAAGATTAAAGTGGGAAAATGATGATTACATATGTCGTGATCATATTCTCAATGGTATGTCTGAATCTCTTTTTGATATCTATCAAAATTTCGAATCTGCAAAAGAACTATGGGATTCTCTTGAATCCAAGCGTATGGCTGAAGATGCTTCTAGCAAGAAGTTTCTTGTCAGTAACTTTATGGGTTACAAGATGATTGACTCCAGGCCTGTTATGGAACAATACCATGAAATGTTAAGGATCATGGGACAGTTTGCTCAACACAATCTGAAAATGGATGAAGCCATTGATGTGGCTGTGATCATTGACAAATTGCCCCCTTCCTAGAAGGATTTTAAATACAATTTGAAACATAACAAAGAGGAATTGACTTTAACTCAACTTGGAAGCCATTTACGAATTGAAGAGTCCTTAAGAACTCAAGAACGTAATAACAATTTGTGAGAACCCAAAAATTTCCGTTAGTTTTTACGTCGAAGTTAACGTCAAAATTAGTTACATCAAAAATTAGCCAAATTTATCCCGAAAATATTTTTGACCGGAATCAAACCCGTTGGAATATTTTAAATAATATTTGTTAATCGAACAAAAATTAAAGCGGTATAACTTTAAAAATTCACCGTGATTAAGGAAGTGGTGAAAAACTCGTTCGCGGTTGGTGTCAGGAGAGCCTCAGCCAGGCCATAAGCTCCACCCTATATAAGGGAGGAGTGGGTTTCACTCCCACCTTTTTCCCACCTTAGACACACACACACACACACACACACACACTCTCTCTCTCTCTCTACTTTCTCTCTCTACAAATGGGTTTTGATAAAAAAATTACTCTTTCAAGCTCCAAATCGGTAGGTAAACCTTCCTAGCTTGTTATCTAACTTATCTATCTTTCAAATTCGAGGCTTAAACATTCAAAAACCTCAATAACATGTGTTTACGGTCTTGGGAGCCTCCCAAAACCGTAAACCCCTTGAATGTGGGTTTTAATGCTCAAAAACCCTTCCAAAACACTTCTCATGCTTAGTAATGGCTTAGAGGCTTACCCGAAAGGACTTAGAACACCAAAATCGGACCAAATGGGGAGTAAACATGAGTTTATAGTCTAAGGATGTTCTTAGACCGTAAAATCATGTTCATGGACCATAAACACTTCTTAAGGTGTTAAACTACCCCTCAAACACTTCCAAAAGCTTCCACGAGTGCTTAGAGCCTTGTAATCCTTCGTTTGAAACACCAAAAACATGATTCATGGGATAACATGATTTTACTGCCGTAAACTCATGTGTTTAAGGTATTAAACTCCCCAAGTGCATCTCCTTAGACCGTAAACACCTTTCCAAGGTGTTTAAGTGCCCTAAACACCTTCCTATGCTCCTAGAAGTGACTAGAACCTTACATGCATGAGTTAGAACCACCAAACAACCAAGGAAATCGACCAACATGAGTTTACTACCCTAAACTCATGTGTTTATGGTCGTAAACTCCTCAAGGAGTCTTCATAGGCCGTAAACTCCTTTAATGGTCCATTTTGAAGCCTTAAACCCTTCATAAGCCCTAGAATTGAACCTAGCCTAATACCACAAGTATTATAAGACCTTAATGCATCAAAGAACACACCATCCATGATTTTACGACCGTAAACTCATGGGGTCAAGGTCTTAGGGCCGTAAACTCTATAAAGAGTTTACTCTTGAAGAGTAAACTCCCGATCTAGGCCATACACACCTTTAGATGTTACCCGGGACACTCCCAACACTTCACCAAAGTGTTTTCCGCATCTTAGGATGCTTATACGTATTTAATTACTATTATATTTACTAATTGCGTGTAAACATATGTCATCATATGTTTATAGGTCACTAAGTGTGTTCAAGTCTTTACTTGACACCGATCCGCTTACAACAGGTGAGTTCATATCCCTGAATGAACCTTTTAAATGTTTTTACATGTTTTAAAGGGGGGGAATACAAGTTTAACATGCCATTTATCATATCAATCACATGTGATTGATAACCCGCATGCACAAGATTTACCACACTGTTAACTGTTTTACCGAGAATGACACTGTAAATGGTTTTCTAAAAACGTAGTTACTTTTTCAACTTTTACTTATAATGTTTAATCAAAGTTCATTTAAATTGTTTATGAAAGGTTTTCAAAGGATTTTTAAAGGTTTTCAAACTTATTTTACAAAGGAATACCAAGTCGTGATTTTTGTAATGTATAAAGGTTTTCATTAAGGTTTTCTTCCATGTTTTATTACTCTTATTTGTTAGATTCTACTGTTTTGTTATACTTCTGCATAGTTAAACACTTATACTGGTTAGACGCTCCTACTCACTCGTTCAACACTCAAACTTGTTAGACGTTCCTTCACTTGTTAGACACCCCTACTCACTCGTTATACGCTCATACTTGTTAGACGTTCCTTCACTTGTTAGACGCTCCTACTCACTTGTTATACGCTCATACTTGTTAGACGCTCCTTCACTTGTTAGACGCTCCTACTCACTCGTTATACGCTCATACTTGTTAAACGCTCCTTCACTCGTTAGATGCTATTACTCACTCGTTAAACACTCCTACTTCGTTAAGCACTTCGGTTAGTTAGATGTAAGCCTATGCTCGTATAGATGCATATAAATAATGTTTGAAGGACTTAGGAAGGCTTGTTTGCCCTATTTCCTTTTCTTCGTT